AATCAGTTAAGAATTTTTCTTTTGGTTGCAATACATATTTTTAGCAGAGGACACAGCCTACCCAATATTTGATCAGAGACTGAATATGTTGCTCAGCTGAGTTTGAGAAATGCTGGCATTCAGCGTAAGAAGTGTAAGAAATGGTAGGCGGTAAAAGGTAGGAGAAGCAGCCAGGAAAAATGTGTATTATTTAAATAGTTTCTCATCACAATGTTATGCAGTTCTATTTTGCCATAATATTGACTGTTCCTTGGATATAAAAGATTAAATCATTAATTTATATTACCATAAGAGATTAATCATTTTCACCAAGCATCAGATGAATGGGAATGCTAAAAGAAAATATACAAATGAAAGGAGGCTGTTTGGCCTATCTAGCCCATTTGGTAGTTAGACGCTAACTGATACTGAAAAAATTCAATTGATTGATTCTTAAGATATCTTTTAGGATTTTGGACATATGGATCATAGTCTTCTCTGCTCAAAATAAAAAACGCTGAGTTCATTTAGCCTGTCAATGTAGGATATTCCTCAAGCCCCAGAATGCAATTTAACCAATGTAACATTGTATTCTAACTGAGGTCTTGCTAGTGCATAGTAACGTTTTTAACTGTAATTCCTTGATTTAAATTCGATGTTTTTAACTAACGTTTGTACTGTATGCTTGTTTTATTACTTGTAGAAGTAAAAGGGTCATCATAAACAGTTGTTAGTTGTCATAAGTAATTTCTTCAAGCTCAGTATTTTTATTTAATTTATTTTACTAAATGCGTGCAAAATCCTGCAGTTGACTGAATTAATGTAATCTGTCAGTCTTTAATGTTTGTGAATCCTCCATTTTGGTATTGTCTGCAAAATAATTTAATTCTCTCCATGTCCTCATGGGTTTCTGTGTGCTTTCGTTTTTTTCCCTAGGTAACAATTATAAATTAGAGTTTTTACTGATTTTATGTTGGGATTATAAAAGTGAGTCTTATTTTATTTCTGCTTGACAGAATGTGTGGACTACAAACTAAAATACTATATTAAAACAAAACCATTCTAATATGGCATACAACAATATCTGTAGTATAAACCGTTCCAAAATATTTTTTCTCCATTTAATGTGTTACTGATTTGTACAAACCATTGGTGTGCCTAATAGTAAAGACAGAGGCCCCTGACCCATTTAATTTAAATCAGTTCACTACAGTACTTCATTATTCACTTATTCATTCAAGTAATATAAAAAGCTTAATGGGGTGCAAAACTAGAGATCTGAGTCAGACTGACTTAATTTATGTTTAATACCAAGAGCTGCAGGATCCCTCAATTAGAAAACTTAAATTGCCTGTAGGTAGAGTTGGTGAATGTATTTACTGCTTTCAAAAGGATTACCACTACGGAAATATGATTGTTTTAATATGCATTGCCAGTTACCAGCTAGTACAACCAGAAGATCACTATTCAAATCGCTATCTAACAATTGATAGTACTGTGGATGTGCTTTATATTCTACAGTATGTCAGAATAAACTTTAAATTGTATATGGCCAATAAAGTGATCTTATTAAAAAAGCGACATCCTGCTTTGGTACTTGTCAAATTGTTATTCCAACAATGTCCTCTAAAAGGATGTCATTCTTTGGGTTGTGGGGAAACTGGGACAGTACAGTATGTCTGGGACCAGCCATACAGTGGCTTCTTTCAAGAAATGGCTTGAGATACTAGGATCTAACTACCAAACGGACTAAGTGGGCCAAATGACCCATTTGCACCTGTTTTAGGTTCTCATTCTTTTAAACATCCAAGAGCTGCTCAACATCCACTGTAAATCTTGTTAATGAAAGAAGATCTGGTGAGCAATTCCGAACACTGGAAACTAAATTCTACTGTTTTTGCAGTAAATTGTATGTACTTTAAATTGTATGTACTCTCTGGAAAGATTCATGTTCACTGAAATAAAACAAATGCTAACCAATTATATGATTAAATATTGTCTTTAACATATAAAGATTTGTCAAAAATCTGGAGACCTCTTGACAACACAATTTCAAAATGTTGCATAATTTTAGAAAGTATTTTTTTCGGTGCTTGGATTGAGTCAATAGGTGACTGTACCTGCAATGTCAGAGCGAATTAGATAGATGCAAGGTGAACCTTCAAGTTTCTGTGGACAGGTAGATTGAAGCCTTAATGATTTTTGCTAAAGAGGATTTTGCTCCTTTCAATGGATTTTGCTTCACCATTAGTTGGTTCTACTTTGTGTGAGAGAATAAAGTTAACTTTTTTGCAGTATTTGCAACCGCTAAAGCATTAGGTAAACAATGAATAGGACATTTTACAGGAGTACAGGATTCTGTAGGATTCTTTAAATAAAACAGAAAGAAGAGTTGAAGAGTTATAAGAAGTGAAGTGGAACTGGAGCACTGGGGTGGGTGATTGATAGCATAAGAATGTATTGTGTTGTTAGTTCTTGGTCAATCAGCCAGGTATCCTATTTTGGGCCTCACCTCCACCTATTTAACCAAGTTCTGTTGCTGGCAGGACTAGAGCACTGACCCTGATCCTGGAGGGATCCAAGCTATCAGGTCTTACTGGTCATCTTCAAGGTATTGGTCAAAATAACATGGAACCAATATTTCAATACCCTTCAAGATTCAAGGACCAGAATGAATTCTCTTGATTCGCTGGAACAATGTTGGAAACTCTTAGACTAGAAAGAGTATGGGACTAGAATGGAAGATACTTAGAGAAAGCTTCTTTTATTCTTGTAAAGATTGAACGAATTATTAACTCCATAATAGTTTCAAAGATTTCAGCATTACTGGGTACTAGACAGTTTTTCAAGATGGCATACAGTATGGAAGTGTCTATATACAGTACTACACAAAAACACTTTGAATTCCCATTGTCTTCAACTTTGATATCCCTAACAATAACGATGCATCATTCTGCATTTTTTATATTTGTCTTCCCTGATCAATAACTATACAAACTGGGTTAAGAAGCAATCATTAAATAAATAAACCATATCAGTTTTCAGCCTCTGCTGACACTTTTATTAATCCAAAAGTCTTAGCTATGAATGAAAAGTTGACACCCCCTAGTAAAAATAACATCACATTTGTTTCATGCTTTCTTATTGTTCGTAACTTAGAATTACAGTGCCCCTGTCTGTACAAGGTGATCTGTAGCTACGCCTCTTTTAAAGCCCTTATGTTGCAGTTTGAGTATACAGTATATATTCTAAAGTACCTATACCCTTTTACCTCAGTTCAGTAGCTTGAAGGTTTTTTTGATACATGGTCTCACTCCTATACCCATATTAAATTTCCATTAACTTTCTACACTTTACCATTTGCCTCCCTAGCTATGTTTAAATTATTCCTAAAATATAAATTTATATAACACATAAGCAACCCTCCCTCATATGATACTTAAAGTACTGATGCATTGTCTTTAAGTTAATTAAAACAACATAACTAAAACAAACAACCTTAATCACAACCTTTTAAAAGGCTAAATCAAACAACATGAATCCCTCTTGTGCATCCAGCAAATGCCTGTCCTTTCTCTCCCTCCCTCCATGATTAGCACACACCCCTGTAATGAAAAGGGGCAATAAAACTGTCATTGAGCCTGTAAAGTCGTCTCCAGCCTGTCAATTCCTACACCGTTGCCACAGAACCATAAGTGTGCATAACAAATACAAAACAAGAACAAAATCATTCTTTATTTTAACTGCACTTTCATATTTACACTTGTGTACCCAGCTTCATGTTCCATTGTTGACTGTAAAGAAATCCTTGAGATGACTATGAGGATTTTGAATACTTGTATCAGGTCTCCTGGTCAGGACTTAAAAGGTTTTGTTCCTTAAGCCTGTCAATGTAGGACATTCCCTTAAGCCCCAGCATGTATCTTGTTGCTTTTCTCTGAACTAATCCCAGCACATCAGTATCTTTTCTATAACATGATGACCTGAATTATACACAATAAGGTCTTAAATTAGGTCTTAATAGTATTTAAATGTGCCTTTTAACTATATAGCTAAACATTGTTTGCCTTTTATTGCTTCTCCACCTCCTCTAGAAGAGATAAGTGGTGTCCAATAGGTAGAACAGGGGTGTTATTTTAGGACTATCTACAGTATTCTTTTCCCACTAGAATTGGCCCCCTGCTAGCTCTTTGCACACCAGTTCAAGTTCTTCTCTCCTACTCTGTAATTATGCTTCCCCAATATTGGTTAAGGTGCAACGTGTCCTGACAGTACAAGTTTCATGTGTTCTATACGGACCCCTGCTATTCCATAACTCTAACCCCTTATCTCTGTACCAATTTATCATCCATGTGTTAAACCTTCATATTCCCCTTTGCACTCGTGGAATCTGGGGAATTCAGGAGATTATACATTTCCCAGATGAATTGCATCTGGGGAATTCCTGATAAGTTTACTATAAACATTCCTCTACTTGCCAAGCTAAAATCCTTAAAATCTATCTTTGAGAGTCAGCATTCTGCCTTCTCTTATGTTATGTATTCCTTCATGGACCTACATTGATCTACCCCAACTGTAGCAGCAATGTACCATACGACCTTGTGTCTTACAGTATATATACTATAATGTCTACATGTTCCGCACATCTGTACTGTACTGTGAGCACATACTGTGACTGTGTTTTGTGTCTCCCCAGCTTTTGTTATGGCAGTAATGTTAATGCTCTTTTTGCACCTGTGTGATTTTTGTGTTGAGCAGGTTCTAAATGTGCCAAGGAAAATTCCTGTACCTGACACACTGGCAAATAAAAGTGATTCTGATTCTGATGAGACTCCCTTTTACTCATGAGCACAATGCTGTCTCCCACTATCACTACCTCCCTTTTAGTGAGTGTGTGTGGGGATCTTAGACTCTCAGACTCAGCCAGTTAATGACATGTGATTTGCTGTTTATTAAGCGTGTATTTCCAGAAATAAAATGGAAAATATAAACTTTAATTATTGTTATTGTTATTATTTCAGACGGTGCGCCATGGCTTTCCATACCAACCCACTGCATTGGCTTTTGACCCTGTACAAAAAATCCTGGCCATCGGGACAAGAACAGGAGGCGTCCGAATGTATCCTTTTCATTTTTTAAGGAACCTGCTAGTAAGAGTATTCGCATGATCTCTGTCATAATTTTTGGAATCATCTAAAAGGTAAGATGTTCTTATTTTCTGGAGATGTGGATCAATAGTTTATACTTATGAGGGTTGCAGATAATAACTATAAATATATTAACCAAATATTGTTGTTACTTTTATATTTATAAACATGCATGACAAGGCACAGTTCCCAATGGGAAAACTTCCTCCTTTCAGTTAGCTTAGCTTTTCTTTAGCTCAAGGGGTGTGTGCTACTTTGGTATTGTGGGATGTGTCTTGGGAAAAATGTTCTGAATTTTAACGAACTCATGGTGGATAAGCAAGCAATTTCACATTCTCAGCTGGGGGATTTCAGAACACAGGACAAGTGGTTCAGTACTCTCACTTAGCAGGTCTCTGAAGTGAGTGCTTTGAAAAATTGAGCAAGCTGTTTAGTGAAATGCAGGACGTGCAGCACCGAACAATATTAAGCTTCTATATGACTTTAAATTAGGCAATAATCTGATTTTTATCGACCTGGTAAAATTTCAATGTGGTTGTCATGTGTCTTGCAAATGTTTTTTAATGGTCAAATATGCAACATATGTACCTCACTCTTCCCCGTTCCCACCAATTGGAAAATGTTTTCAATGGATATTCACACCAGTCCACTGCTTCTCTCTTTCTGCAGTTTGTCATCGTCATAATACCAGACTTACTGCTCTTCATACTTTTTCAATATATTTCAAAACTTTAAATGCAGAAGTTTTAGATTTTATGATTCCATTTCTATGAAGATGCATCTAACACCAAGATCCAATACCAAAATAAAGTTTATTTCAAAGTACATTTGGGACCAGTTATGCACATTTTCATCTAAGTAAATGGATCAGACTGATTCTATATTTTGTTAATGTTTTTTTTTTTCTATGGAATGGAAATACTAGTACAGTATGGCCAAGGGCAGGTTGCTATAATGTGATCTTTTAATAGGCAGGTGTTAGGTAAATAGACAAACAGTTGTACTGTGAACTGTGAGAAATAGTGCTCTCTTTACAGCGAGGATACTGTATAGGCTCTAAAACAACACACAAAACAAAAACCTAACTTTTTTAAACTCATAATTTACTTATTTTTCCTATGCATCTGAGCTTTACACATCAATGTTTCTTCCAAAGCTATAATCAACATAGTTTTACCCAAAAGGAGTCTCTCTAAGACTTTTAAAAACTTTCATGTCCCATTAATGTCTGGGCAATGTGTTTTCAGACAAAATCTTCCATCTTGTCTGAACCTACTGCCCTCTAACAATAGGTCATTTTTTGAAGTCTAAACATTCATTTTTAAAGGCTAAACGTTTTTCTCTTACATACTGTAAACAAATTAAATTGATATTAATCTTTTTTCTTATTTCAATTGCCTTTTTGAGTTTTTCATTACATTAAATTAATTTGATAAATACGATATTATTCTTCTGCTGTTACACATTTACTGTACCTCTGCACTAATGATATTTATTGGAAAGTGCTGGTACGAAATACTCAGATATATAAAATATGAAACATATGACATTATATATAACAGTGTGTAACATTTTAGATAGGGTGAACTCAGATGTAATATGACACATCTTTAGTTTTACTAACTAAATAGACAGGAATAAAAAATATGACTTAATGCCCTTAGGCTCATTTTATATCTCACAGAAAGTAAAATTCTTTCAACTGAAACAACTGCTGATGTACAGTATATGAGGGTTTAATTGTGAGGGTATTGTGATGCTGTAACAGGATCTTTTGTGTTTTTAAATCTTAACCACCAGATCCAGGTGGCTGTAAACCAGAACATGCATGAAATTGTTCATGTTATCAAGTACATAACATTTTTTGTTATTAATGTTCACTTGTGTTAGAAATCAAGAAACAGCACCGACAATAGAAATACTCTGTGTTAAAGGAACAGTTAGTGACATAATGAAGGATATAGTCTGATGCATCACTCTGTATTCCTGAAATTGTTGAAGTAATGAATCTCTTGTTTTCTGTTTAAAGTCATTCGGAACTACTGCAGACATGCATTGATCCAAGTCTTGATGCAAAGGAAAAGACTTTAGTGGATGTTTGCGTAGCTGCAGTGGGTGATGTCATATCTTGAGACCATTTCCCTGTGGCATTGAAATGAAGCTGGCATCCTGAAAGCAACTGCAGCACATGTCTAACATAGTAGTATCCAAGTTTAAACACTCTTTTAAACACTGGATGTGGACAGTAAAAAAAATAAAAATACTGCACATGGTTGTTTCTGATCCAGTTATAACCATATGTAGTCATGTATAACACAATTTTTCATAATCTCTTAGTGTGCGAGCTATTATCATCAACAGATTCAACATTCTTGACTACAAATACCTTAAGAGACCTTAAGAAATCCCAAGGTTCTAGCTTGAAACACAAAGTATCAATAGAATAAGTTCTTAGATCTGGTGGCAAAATAGCATAATGGAGTGGTAGTTATCACTGCTCTTGGGTCCTGGGTTTGATTGCAGACTGTAGCATATTTTGTGTGGCTTTTGCATGTTTTTCCTGTGTTTTCACGGGTTTGTGCGAGGTCTTTTATACCACCAGACTCCCAGAGACATTCTGGCTTTGTTCACTCTAAATTAAGCCCTTGTGCCTGTGTGTATTCCATGAAGGACTGGTGTCCCATTGATGGAACCACTGGGACACCAATGAAACTGGAGGATGACCTCCAGGTTGGTAACAGGTGGGTTCTTTTTAGAACAAATGATGGAATATTATTTCTGCATCTCCAAGACAACAAAACAGCAGTTACAGAATTCCTTGAAATTATCACCAGATGACTGAAACCAGTGGTGTTTTTTCTTTTCAGAACTTCTGTTTATTTTTACATCTCTGCTGTAACAGATATTAAAGTACAATTTCAATATCAGGAAAAAAACATTGGTATTCTTCTGAAACAAGCTTCTAAATTAAGGGATAAATTATTAATCACCACAAATACAATATCCTGTAAAATGTGCAATGTTTTATTCAGTTTTTGAACCTATCCATAGAGCTAAGGACTCATGAAAATAGTTTTTTATCTCTAAGATTTAAGATTGGTTTTGTTTTAAATACCTGCAGTTACTTGAAGTTCTGGCAACTAATATAATTCTGAAACCCATCTATTCAGATTTATAATGAAAGGTATATGTTATTGCTTAATTAATATTAATCAAAGTAGAGTGTGGATAAAACTAGTGCATAATGTCTTATAAATCTATAAAACCTTTATATTATATTACTTTCTTAAGTAATGCAAACTAATCAGCATTTTTACAGCTGTTTAGTACAACATAAAACAATGCATTATTGACTCCTACAGTAAATTAAACATTTTGCTGTTTTTGACTGGCCAGTCATACAGTCGACTGTCAATCTTGATATGATAAAAAGAATAATTTCATATTCATGAGAAGAAAAGGCAGAATTCAGACACAAAGCTGCCATTAATCTCTCCTGTAATGTACCTATATAAAGCAGCAGGCATTGAATTAATTGTGGCATAGAACAGAGATTAGCAATACAAGTCTGCTTAAGAAGTCCTAGCGTTATTTGATATTGCAATTACAGAGTGAATAGGTTTTTAGTTAAAATACATTTCCGAAGTAAGTGACTATAAATATTAATATGATATACCCACCACTTAGTGTAATTTAAGATGGCACTTCTGTGATTGCAGAGACAACTGTATTTTGAAGAATGCTGTATCTCCAATTCCCTATAATGTCTTCAGTATAGTTGCATAGAGTTTTTTTTCTGTTTTGCTAGAGAGAATTAAACATTACATGTTTCAAGTTTTAAAGGGAAGGACATGAGTGGGATTCTGTATTAAAACATAGACTCCTGAGTAATTCAACTAGTAAAAGCCTGGGCTCAGACTGTAGGAGATGACCTGCAACTTGGATCTCTGATGTGAATCCACACTGTGCCTCTAGCCAAATGAACCCCCAGGGGCTTGCATGTGAGCTAACAAGCATCACATAGGTTGACTACAGTGACATTGGAAGGTGAATCCTACTGTAGGTTTCCCTCATACCTTCACTTTTTTCCACTGTTCAGAGACCTTTGAGTTCGAGATGCTTCCTGTTAGAGTTTTGGCATTTTGGCATGGAATCTAAGACATTTTATTATGAGAATTTCCTTGGTGATGAGCAACTTGAAGCTTTTATTTTCATGAGAATCTATAGACTGGACTTGGTCAGTTCTCCTGCAAACATAAGAGCTCTTCTTTTTGCACTGTGCTCACAGCACTGAATGGCTTTTGTGACTTTATGCTGGTGTGACATTGGATAACTAGGTTGAAAAGTATCTACGTTACATTGGTGTGTGCTAGGAAACAAAATCAGTGTTGCAAAACAATGAGACCATTACTTCATCATACCCTGCTCTGAAAGTATAGGGTTGTAGCCAAATAACCAGGAGGTGTCAGTGCCTGATTTCTGAATGATAGTAAAGCCTTAGACCTCTTAAGTCAAAACATGTTAACACAAATTTGGTATTGCAAACATTCTTCCTTAAAGGAGTACAACACAAAGGTAAGTTAGAAAATAATGAGTCACAGCTTACTCTATTTTGCATATGCTGATTATGATCAAGCCATTGTTCATTAATTTGGCAGGCGGAGATGTATAGCCTTCAGAAAAAAGGCTTAGTTTTAATTTCAGATAACACAAGGAAGTCTTTTTTGATAAACAGAAACTGTTACACAGTTTCTCAAGTTGTTTTACATCTTACTGTGGCAGATGGCTTTCAAATGCCAGTGCAGCAGTTCTTATGTGCCTTGAACCTCAAGCACTAAGTCCGTTATAAAAACAGGTCCAAACTAACACATACACTCTGAATACTGGAGATTTTGATTGATTTAAAATCCTAGCGTATGTTTGCATTTATATCCATCATTAATTAAAGAATGAAAGTGAACTCACAATATAA